TTTCCAGTTGCTGACCTTGCAGTTTGCAGCCCAAAGCACAACCACGACCCCACCAGAGCTCTTGTAGCCATTTTTAGGAGGTAGCATATGATCGGGAAGCAACAGCACTAGAGGAAGAAGTCCAAGGTGTACTGAAGACATTGTTAAAAACAGGGCTTCAGGAATTGACAGAATGCCAGATGTGATATTGCAACCAAAGGATGCAAAATGGAAGCACTCATTGATTTTTGTCAAGAAATTTCTAAGACAGCAGTGTGGTCAACCAACTGGGAGACATTTACGAACCCTCTCCCAGGGGGATGGACAACAGAGAAGTGGGTGAAGAGAGACAGTGGTCAGTGTAAAACATGAAGAAAAGAATAATTTAGAAATTATCAAGGGTTCACGAGGGAGGGTGGAGGAGGGAGGGAAAAATGAGGAGCTGATATCAAGGGCTCAAGTAGAAAGAAAATGTTTTGAAAATGATGCTGGCAACATATGTATAAATGTGCTTGACACAATAGATATATGCATGGATTGCAATAAAAGCTGTAAAAGCCCCAATAAAATGATTTTAAAAAAGGATTATAATGTTAAAAAATGGATTTATTTTCAAAGCTACGTATTTAAATTTTTTTTTTAAAACAAAACAACCTATCACCATCCAAGGACTCTCCATTACACTTAATACATCTGTCAAATCTGCGATTCCATTCTTGGAAACATTTTTCAAACTCATCTGTTTGCATGGCTGACAGCACCTCCCTTGTTCTTTTCTTCACCTCTTATATGTCATCAAATTGCTGTTCTTTCGTGTCCTTCTGCATTCGTGGAAACAAAAAGAAGTCACATGGAGTGAGGTCAGGTGAGTCAGGTGTGTGGGGCAAGAAAGGCATGCTATTTTTTGCCCCAAACTGGCGCACTGAGATGGCCTCATGAGCAGGTGCATTGTCGTGGTGGCTACACCAGTCCCCTACCTGTCACAAATCAGGCCTTTTTTTTGTCGCACACTGTTAGGCAATCTTTTCAGAACTGCTAAATAGAAAGTTTGCTTAACAGTCTGACCTGGTGGAAAGAACTCCAAATTCACTATGAATTGACATTTTGGGGAAGGTGACAGACATCCCGAACGAGGTTTATCACCAGTCAACAAATCACCTTTTTTGAAATGAGAAAAACACTCATATGCTTGAGTTTTTCCCATAGCACTGTCCTTGTGTGTGTTCAACATCACAACATTTTCTGTGGCATTTTTCCTGAGCAGGAAACACAATTTCACAGCTTCAAACTGTTCTCTGAAATTGGCCATCACAAAAAAAATGAGGTTTGTGTGAAACTGCTTTTATGAAAAAATTCCGTGACCAGAGAGAACCTTCCCAGGTGATGCCACTGGGTGCATTAACTTAGAGCTAGTTGCTCATGCTTGCCTAGTGGGTAAAAATGCATATTAGGAAAGCTCCGCCAGCAGAGTTTTTTGGTTTTTTTTGTACCCCGTCATACATTTATACCCATTGCAAACAAAGGTGATCCAACAGAATTTGGTCATTATCAAACATATTATAGGCAAATTAAATTTTATTGAAGAAAATTAAGATTGGTTGCAGCAGTACAGGGATCTTCTTACATTCAAGCCAGATATGGAAGACAGCACAAAACAAGGGGAAATCATTGCTGATTTGGAGCTTGGAGGAAAGCAGAGATTCCCAAAAATATGTTTACTTGTATTTTACTTCATATGCAAAATACCATGTGTGGATCCTAAGAAACTATGGCTAACATTACAAAGAATGAGGAACTCAGAACTGCCACAAAATTATAACTGGAGGCCGATGAATTCTTCATAGTTGTAGGTGGGGCTACAGAAGGGAAAGGGACCGTGATTGGAATGACTGACTACACTGTAGTGGATTAGAAGAATTTACAAGATTGGTTCAGAGCCCTCCGACCAAGGCAGTCAAGGTATGGCTCATAACTATGCTACTCTAGTACCCCACATTCTCTCAAGGGCACACACAGTTAAATCCAAGAGGCTGTGGCTACTGCCTCCCTGGGCTGGTTAGGAGAGCATTAGTAATTCACTTTCAAATACACTGTGCCTGAGAGCAAGCGTTTTTTGATGGTCAGAACTCAAAGGAGGAGGAATATATGTGGAGACTCAAAAGTGGATTTTGGGTTCCAACTGTAAACCTTCTGCACACTAGGACTCAGAATTTAACCTCTGAAATGGAGGCAGACAGCTTTGAAGAGATAAAGATAGATTGGTTACTTTCCTATCATTGTAGAGTAGAGCCCTGGACCTTGACACTAACCTGTTCTGGGAGCAGTCGAGTTCCGAATCAATTTTCCCCATAAATAACTGAAAACGGATTAATCCGTTCTGACCACCAAGTTTTTACCCTAACCTTGCCTTTTTATACAAAACTACACAGAAATTTCAACGTAAGTAAGTTCAGTTAAATAATATAATTTAAGTAAGAGACACAACATTAAAAAAGTTTTTAACAACTACAGTATGGCCCATAGCTTGAGATGGATGAGGATCTGGATCTGTGGACATGGATGTGGAGAGGAGGTGTGGAGAGTCATTGTTTGGAAGAGGAATCCCCTTCCATAAAATCAATTGGTAGCTGCTTTTCAGGAGGTTTTCCCTACTTCTTTGCTTTTTTTTTATTAGGACTTGGCTGGCTTTCTCTGAAAAAAAAAAATTCTATCTAATGTGGTCTGCTGTTGGCATTGTCTTAACTGTTTTCTAAATGGGATTACTAAATTATCATCACAATATTGATGACACAGTTAACCAGTTCCTTACATGATGATTCTTTTCACAAAAACTCTTGGACTTTCTCCCAATGAAGCAGCATTTCTTTGATTGCTGAAGAAGCTGACTCCCTCTGGATTTCCTCCTCTCCTCCGCCAAAATCTGCTGCTGATCCTCTTGAAGTCCTGGAGTTCTTCGGTTGTGAGTTCAGTGCTGTGCTCTTCAACCAGCTCCGCGATGTCATCAGCACCCCCTGCTTCCCCGTGCCGTACAACACTATGAATGCCACTTCTTTTCTTTTGTTGTTGTTATTGTGAGGAGGCATTGCGTGAGTTCAGATTCAACCATCCCATGTACAGCAGAACAAAACACTGCCCAGTCCTCTGACATTCTCGCAGTGATTGCTACAGTGATTGCTACGGTAGAGCCCATTGTAGCAGCCATGGGGTCAACCCATCTCCTTGTGGGTCTCTTTTTCCCTGATCGTCTACTTTACCAAGTATGATGTCCTTTGCTAGGAGCCAGACCTTTCTGATAACATGTCCAACATATGGGAGAACAAATCTCGCCATTCTACTTCTCCCAACAGATTTGTTTTTCCATCAATATTCTTTGCCCAAACCTTGCTTCAAATGCATCACTTCTCCACTCTTTCTTACTCATTGTCCAGCTGTCCTAGGAATAGGAGGGGATTGCAACTACTGTGGCTTGGGCCAGGTGCACGTCAGTCTTCAAAGTGACATCTTGGTTCTTGAATCCTTCAAAGAGGTTTTGTGCTGCAGATTTACCCAATGCAATCCATTGTTTGATTCCTTGACTGCTGCTTTCATGAACTTGAATTGTTTTCTTAAACCTGTAAACCAGCCCCTACTAGCCAAAAACTCATGCTCCGGACCACGACTTGATCCAAGTTTGCTTTTCATAAGCCCACATGCAAAGTTCGAGCCTGAGTGCAAATAATAGCCTCTGAAATACTATCACCAACCATTTGTTTCTCAATTTGTCTCCTTCATCTCTTATAGGGCGTCGCTGGTTTGTCAAACTTGTAACCCCCTTAGCAACACGAACACTTTCTATTGCCTCTTTATTCTTTAAAAATGTATTTATGGTGGATCTTGGCAAACTAAACTGGGACACTAAATCAGTCACACGAATGCCTCTTGTGTACTTTTTAATCACCTCTTTTTTCAGTTTAATTGTGGTTCTTTTTCTTTTTCTGCTTGTCTGCAATGGCTTTCTTACAACCCATGTTTTTTATCTAAAAACAGAAAAGCCACAAAAACTAAGACGATTAGAGCAAAGTGCAAAAGGTTTAAACAACGAGTACTAACAATGCCAACGAACACCGAGTGACCCAAACATGGACTGCTTTTGTTTACGAAAATCGCGTGTCAGGTGGGATACTGATGTTCTTTCTGCTCGAGCTCCGATGCAAAATGTTCTCGACATTTTGCGTCAAAATCCTATTATGTCGAGTACTGATTCAGTACAGTACACGGGTTCTACTGTATCAGAAAAAAGTTAAATGGAGAGGAAAAAACCAAGTTAAATGGAAACAGCAGTTTGTCATGAACTAAAATCAATGTCACGCCAGGGCTGCCTCTTGATTTGCGAGGATCTTTTCCCCTTCGATTTCTCGATCCCAGGAGGCACGTGAGTATTAAGTAGTGGTTCTCAAACCTTTTGTCATCGTATTATGGGGTCGCACTGCTTCTCACATGTTTCTACTATTAATAAAATGATTAAAAAATTCAACTTCAATGAGATATTAAAATGAAAATGCAGTAGCCTTTAAAAAATGTTTCTAATATGTGGGCAGGCCCGTGTATTGTTGGCTGTAAGAACAATATAAAATCTTTGGACTTTCTTCAGAACCCTTCGTTCAGCTGCACGGGCTTCGTGTCTTTCCCAGTGGCGTCTGAGGCTAGTTCGGCTGTCCAGGAAAGTGACCGAGGTCAAGACGAACCATGACTTTAACTCGGCGCCCCACGCCCCAACAAAACTCCAACAATGAAAAACTCAAGATGGCAGTCGTAAAGACCGATTCGCTTCCAAACACAGCGACACGCTCCCTCGGGCGTCAGTCGTTACGATAGAGACGAGCCATTCCTCCAACGCCAGGCGTCCTAGAGAAGCCGCGCGTACTCGGGCCTCCGGGCGCCCTCGCATTGCGTCACTTCCGTGGCGACCGGGCGGAAGCGATTTCCTCTTTCCTGTCCCTTCTCCGCCTGGTCCCGCCTCCCGGAAGCTTTGCTCGCGCTCAGCGGGGCCCTCGGGTCAGGGGTGAGAGGTGAGAGGGCGGCGTGGGCCTGGAGAGTAACTGCCGCGCATTGGGCTCCCCGGTAGCGCTAGTTGAAGGCACCAGGTAGGTCTCGGCTGAGGGCGCGATCGGGTTGTGCGGGCTCTCGGGGAGTCTCCAGTTAGGGGGCTCTTCTTCCGGGGCCGGCAGCTGGCCACCGCCAGGTCTAGGGTCCCTGGCCCCGCGCGAGGTGGACGGTAGCCTTTGTCGCTGCTCCGGTTTCCACCCTGCGGGCGCCTCCGATTGCTGCCACTGCAGTCCATTGGCACTGCGACGGCAGAGCTGCCTTTGATGTAAGCAGAGCGCTTTCGCAGCCATTGCGCTTCCCCTGAGCTCCGAAACCGCGCGTGGCGCGTAGGGCAAATGCAATGATGAGCCAACGCCAAGGGGCAGATGAAGCGGAAGCGCTTGGAGAACCCACTCTTTCAAGGCAGCCAGGCTCTCTTAGAGGCAGAACCGGGGCTCACGCCGAGCTTTAGCTTCCCTAGATGGGCACCAGATCGTGGGAAGAGACTGGAAATAGAGAAACCGCAGGCAGGAAAAGGGGAGCCAGCATTGCTTTCTGCGTGTCTGGCATAAGGCTACGTGCTTTCTATGATTATGTGACCTGTGCCTTGGCACAGTCATAGGAAGGACATACTGCCAGTCCTCGTTTAGGAAGCTGAGGCCCAGACGTGACAAGTGACGTGTCCAGTGTTAATGCCGGAGCGGACCTCTCTCGAGCTAAGAACTCTGCAGCACTGTGGTTCTTCCTGATCAAACTGTACTTTTCTGGGGTGGGCATAGCAGGGAATGCAAAGAAGTAAGGGACAACACCCTGATAGCTATTCTTGGTCTCTTCACCCTCTGGCTCCTGTTTGGAAATTTATGTTCATAGCAGTCCAGCCCGGAGTCTTCCTTCACAATTTATTTCCTCCCCAAGAAGAATTTAGGGACTGTATTGCTTGGACATAGGTTCAATACCAATAGATATCGGTTAAAGGGCTGGCTGGGAAAACTGGCAGTTTTTGTAGCAATGGGTGGTCTCATTGCAGACATTTTTTAAATTGCCCTTTTCTCTTTGCTTATCTTACCTCAATGTATGCATTTTTCCTTCCAGGAAAGAGACTATCTTCTTCTGACAAGATGTCTGGGATTGGCAATAAAAGAGCAGCAGGAGAGCCGGGAACATCTATGCCCCCGGAGAAGAAGACAGCTGTGGAAGATTCGGGGACCACCGTAGAGACAATTAAGCTGGGTGGTGTCTCTTCAACGGTATGTGGAAACAGTGTTTCTCTTGTGATCGGAAATTCAGAATGCCCATGGAAGATTACAGTGGCAGGTATAAGAGGAAATAGAGCAATGTCATTAAAAGCCTGGCAGATGAGGGTCTGCAGCCAGACTGCGTCAGGCGGACACTCAGCTCCATGACTGTTAAGCTGAATAGCCTTTTGGTATCTTTCTTACGACTGTATCCTTGTCTGTAACATGTAATGACAGTACTTACCTCATTAGGTTGTGCAGCAATGCTGAAAGTCTGTGTCAGGACTGACAATATTGTCTTAAAGTAATTGCTTCAGCAGTGTGTGTGGATATTTATGATTATTATTGGGCTAAATATTACACATTTAATGATGAGCAGAGATGGTATCTTTGCTCTCTGTACCTGACAGTTTGATTAGACTATTATAAACGGAAAACTCATTGTAATGTTATATGACAATTAGATATCAAAAGTTAATGTTTTTCTTATAGACAGGGTTCTGTCTTTTGGGGCTCAGCCATGGGATATGGTGCAAAATGTTTTAGATCTTTATAGTTTACAAAACCACATGGATTCCTTATTTAATGATGAGGCTGAGACTTAGAGAAGTTTACCCACCCTCTCCCTGCACAGCCTGGAGGCTAGAAGAATACTAGGAACACTCGGAGCAAATTGTCAATGAAGACAGTGCCGTTTCTGAGGCTATGCCAGACTACTGCCAAGAAGTGGTTTTGCCTTACCACTGCCTCACAGTGTACACCTGAAGGGCATCTATTCACTTAGTGCTTAAAATATCTATCGAGCGTCTACTCGTTTTCAGGCAGTGTGCTTTCTACTGAGAATAGACCTGGACTTAACTTTGTGGGCTTCTGTTGTAATACAGTCAAGCTGGAAATGTGTTGTTCGTAGGGGTGAGCCCATAGCATACAATTTGCACTTTATCCAAAAGACACTGGGGAGGCACTGGAAGGTTTTAAGTAGCAAAGTGACCTCTCTGGCTGAGGTTTGGAGCACAGTGTGCTTTAAGCAGGAGTTCATTTAGTAGAACTGTTCTCTAGTCCTTGCCCCAGCCCCCAACCCCAGAGGTGGGGAACTGATGAATGCTTGTGCCCTCATTGCTTGAAGCTTGCCTTTGGAAGTGGTCAGTCCACAGGGCTTCCAGCTTCTGAAGTGAACCGAATGAATGTAGGACTGTAAAAATGAGATACCAAGGGGGAGCCCTGGCAGTGGAAATGGCGCTGTCCACCACTAGTGTGCTGAAAATGGCTGGTCAGCAGGACACGGCATGAGACACAAAAGTGTCAACTGCAGGAGGCTATTGTCCTAACTTTGATTATTGGGCTGGAGTCTCCATGGAGGTAGTGCTGACAGGGTTTCTTGATGGATTGCATGAAGCATGCGAGAGAAAGGAGATAAGATCACCTTAGAATTTGGGGAGGATGGAGTGTTCATTTACTGAGCTGTGGATCACATGAGAGGTGCTGATTTGGGGATGGTGTGGAGGATGAATGCTGCAGGGAGTTATGACTGATTGTTTAAGATGGCTAGTAGCCCTCTGATTGGATTAGCAGTTGGATCTAGTTCAGGTGGGCTAAGGTTATTTACTTGGACGTAATCGTTTGTAGGTGGTATTTTCTTAAGTGCACGAGACTGAGGGTCTTCCCTAGGCATAGACAGAGAGATCTGTGTACCAAGGTGTAGGTCTCTGCAGCGCGTTCACATCCAGGAGATGAGAAGGAACGAGTCAAGAGACAGTGAAAACGGGGCCTGTGAGAACAAGGGAGGCGTGGTCTCAGATCCAGATGAAGAAGGTGTTTCAAGAAGGAGTTGATCGGGTGCTGCTGATGGCTTCAGTAAGGTGAGGACTGATGATGACCGTTAGATTTACCGCCAGAGAGTTCATTGTTGACTTAACAAGCACAGTATTGGTGGGCAGTGGGAGCAGGACAAGGAGAGAGGAGAAGAGTACGTGAAAAGAAGAGTCTTAATGTAAAATACAGCAAAGAAACGGGGCAGTAGTCAGGGGAATGTGGGCATGAGGGAAGGCTTTTGTCTGTTTCTCAAGGTAGGAAACAGTACAGCCTGCTTCTCTTTTGGTTGTAATGATTTGGGAGTGAGGCGAGAGTTGATGCAGCAGGAAGAGCGGGCAGTTACTGATGTGATGTCCTTGAATGGGAGAAAGGGAGTATAGTGTAGCAAACAGGCGGTGGGGAGCTGTTGACAACCAAAAGGGAGGCAGGGATATGGGTTCATGCCCAGGCTGTCAGCTGTGGTGGTGGAGTTAGGTGTGAAGGTTCTCTTCTGATTGCTGTAGTGTTTTTCCCCAGTGAAATCAGAAGCATGACTTGACTGAGTGAGGATGGGGGAAGAAGTTTTGGAGGTTTGAAGAGACAGGAGAAGGTATGAAGCAGCCATCTGAAGAGCAGGGACTAGAGATGTCAGACTGCTGGGCAGCTCCGAGTGCCCACTTGAGGATTGTGATCATGGATCTGAAAGTGAAGTTAGTCAGTCTGATGCTTCACTTTCCTCCCGTCATGTTTGGCTGGATGGGTGTTGTCTTGGTATAGTTGGAGAGGCGGGTGCTTTCAGAGTTGGGGTTCTGGTTATCAGGCAGGTCTGATGAAGGAGCAAGGAGAGAGAGGAAGGTAGATAAAGGGGTGTGTGTGTCTATAATGAGTTATCATGGAGTTTAAGTTTGGTAAAGAAGAAAGTGAGAGGAAAGATGGTAGGATGAATGTCTTGTAGATCATAGTGGGATGGAAAATTGGTGGAATTGGGAAACTAGAGAGAGTGGGCTGGAAAAAGCAGTTGGCAGTTGTGAAGAATAGGGTATTTGAAATTGCACTGATAGAGAATGTGCAGGTCCTGCTGAGAATGAGAATAATCGTAGCGTTGGTGGCTGAGGGCGGTAGAGGGCAAGTGGATAGGAAGAAGGAATTTTTTCTCAGCATTGCCTTAGCATTGTCAACAAGTCACTAGTTCAAGATGTTGGAAGGGTTCTTTACGTGGAATTTGATGTTTGGCAGAATGTGGCATGCGTAGTACTGGAGAAGGTGATAGAACAAGCCAGGCACTAGGTCCTGGAATGTGTGGGAAGTGACTGCACACATATATATGCCCACAACTAGGCAGGGGCAGGCGGAGCAAAGATAAGAGGTTTTAGGGAAGAGGATAGTCTAGAACTGCCCTTGGAGAACAAGGAATGGGAAGTCGGAATCTCGGGTTTCCAAGGTGGCGCATTTCCAGATAATACTGAGGTCCAAGATGTGACTTTTGAAATGCATCACTGAAGCCCAGGGAAGGAGATAATCATTGGCGCTAAGGCATCCAAGGTACTGACAGGCTAGATACTAGAGGACTAAATGGTTTGTCCACATGAATATTGAAGTCACTGGAGATGCTGGCAGTGATGGGGTAGACATGGAGCCCGGTACCCAGTCATGAGTGAAGGAAGGGTAGTACTTAGGAGATGACAGTGGTGATGCGGTAGAGAGTGACCCAGCTGCATGGCCGAGCCTCCTGTGAATAGAAAAGTGATGTGGGTAGGGGTTGAAATTCCATAATGCTTGTGTTCCTCAAACTCTCATAGACCCTTATTTCCAATCGTAGACCCTTTCCTTCCTCTCTCTGCAGGATTGTAGAATTTGAAAAAGGGGAATAACTTTGCAGGATGTACCTAATGAATTAATGTGGTCTTGTTGGGTTTCATAGTAGCTTTGTCTTGATTTTTCTGTGGAGACTAATGAGATGGGTTTCCTGGGCAGGAGGAGTTAGACATCCGAACACTGCAAACCAAAAACCGCAAGCTGGCAGAAATGCTGGATCAGCGGCAGGCCATTGAAGACGAGCTCCGTGAGCACATTGAGAAGCTGGAGCGGCGACAGGCCACTGATGACGCCTCCCTACTGATTGTCAACCGCTACTGGAGTCAGGTAGCTAACGGTGCAGGTTGTGGTGTGAGCGTTGAAGATCTGTTTTACCCCTTTCTCCATTTCCAAAGTTGTGTCCTTCGGTTTGTTAATGCTTGTGCAAACCCTTTCCCAGTTTGATGAAAACATCCGTATCATCCTCAAACGCCACGATCTGGAGCAGGGTCTGGGAGACCTACTCACAGAGAGGAAAGCCCTTGTCGTGCCCGAGCCAGAGCCAGACTCTGATAGCAACCAGGAACGGAAAGACGACCGAGAGAGAGGTGAGTGTTGTCAGGACTCCTCCAACTGCAGGCCAGCTGGCTGTTTTGAAGTAGATTCTTGCTTTGTGTGTGTGTGTGTGGGGGGGGGGGGCGTATTTCGATCTTTACAGTTTTATAATCATGGTGGGCTTCTTTTTCCCACATGTCCTCAGGGGAAGGACAGGAGCCAGCTTTCTCTTTCCTTGCTACTTTGGCCAGCAGTTCCAGTGAGGAGATGGAATCCCAGCTCCAGGAGCGCGTGGAGTCCTCCCGCCGAGCCGTGTCGCAGATTGTGACCGTCTATGATAAGTTGCAAGAAAAAGTGGAGCTCCTGTCCCGGAAGCTAAATAGTGGAGGTGAGGCAAGAATCAGAAGTGGATAAGCACTCACCTGCATCTCTGTGTGCTAACTTGTAGCAGGAAAAGCCTGCGTGTTTGCTCTGCATGACGTTCCTGGACTTGTATTCGGCCGCAGCCCTGTGCGTGCTAGTACTTTATGAGTGCTTTGCATGGTGTTTGTACCGAGCCAGGTGACAGCCCTGTTCAGAGTTGAGGAGAGATTTTATCAGCTCCCTTGTGAGAGTCTTTGATTTCAAAGAATTGGTTTCTAATGTGCTACTGTTTTTTGGTTTTTGTCGTCTCTGATGTTTTCAGACAGAAGTTAGGTTTTAGAGTTGTTTAATGATCTGTTTCTTTGTTTTAAAGGCAAAGTATTACATTCATGGAAAAGTAGCCATTTGAAATGAAAGCATTGGAAAAATCACATGACTGTTCAGTATTAGTGCAGAAGTCTATTTTTGTACAGTCTTTGTGACAGGAAGGTATAGCTAAGTTATATTTAGTCATTTGTGACATGAAACTTTTTGCTCAAGTGCAAGTAAATGCCGTGATTACATGTTTCTAAGAAATCCTGGTCTATTGGAAATGTGTTAATTTCTCTGGTTAAACATTAGGATATTTCACTTCTGAAAGAAAGAAGCTGAATGTAATGGAGGTTGAATCATTGGTGAGCAGATAGGGATTGTCTTACTTTGTAATTTTGTTTTAAAGGATGTGCTCAAAAACTCACTGCCATCACATCCATTCTGACTCACAGTGAGAGAGACCCTGTAGAACAGCGTAGGACGACTCCTCTGGGTTTCTGAGAAGACACTTCTTTACAGAAGCAGAAAACTTCCTCTTTCTCCGGGGGAGTAACTAATGGGTTTGAGCCCCTCCTCCGGTTACCAGCCCACCACCAATCCACTCAGCAGAGTTGAAAGAAGCAAGCAAAAGGCATGTAAAAAGTGGCGAGGGAAAGAATTGGAACTGACCAGTGACCTTTTTTGCTTCTTCATCAGGATTTGTGTATTTCTGTATTATTAGAATAACAGATACTTAAATTAAGATCCGCAAAAGTCATTCCCTCTCACTACCCAAGATAATCATCATAAATAATTTGGTTTGTGGCCTTCCACACTTTTGGAGTCACATACAGCCGCTTGTCCCTGTCCTTCCAACTCCACTGTCTGGTGGCGCACACCTCAGCTCTCTCGACCGTGTCTCTCCAGTCTCCAGCCCTGAGCCTGGCTTCAGTGAGTGCTTGCATGATGCCGACTGAGTGACTGTGGATCTCCCCTTTCACCTGATATAAACAGGTGTTGTTACTGCTTCCTCCTCTGGCTCTCCTTGAATGGTTAGTTGGAAGATCCTCTTAACTCCTAGCAAGGCAGATAATATGCTATACACAGAGACTGTGTTAATGTTAACAATGATAATTACAAATAATATAAAGTAAAATAATTGCTATATCTTAAAAAGCCAAAAACTAAACTAAAGCTAGTTGTGTATTAAACAGTGCTTTAAATTACTCATTTTGATGGTATGCATTTTAAGGTAGGGTTTGAAAATTAAAAACGTTCATTACAATCTTAAAATTAACTAAGCTGTTATTTAGAATGTAAAAGACAATGCCATTGATAAGCTGACTGCTAGAGATACAAGTAAATAATCTACTACAGTACCTTGAAGTTAGTTTTCCCCATTTGTATATGGTCTGTGATTCAAAAGACTTGCCTAATTGTACAGTCTTTGTGACAGGAAGGTATAACTAAGTTATATTTAGTCACTTGTGACATTTTTCAATTCACTAAACACTTATCGAGCCGTTCTCCTTGCTTAGGATATTGAGATGAGTGAAAATCAGTTCTTAGGGCTTAACTTGGGATTTGTGTCAGAATACCCTAAGGAGTTTTCCCAGAATCCTTTTTCCCAGCTCTAGAAACCCTGGTGGAGCAACAGTTAAGCACTTGGCTACAGCCTAAAAGATTGGTGCTTCAAACCCACCTAGGGGCTCCACAGGACGGAGACCTGCTGTCAGCGTCCATACAGCTTTCAGCCAGGCAAACCTTGTGGGGTAGTTCTACTCTGGCCTGCAGATTCGCTCTGAGCTACAATCTACTCGATGACACCACTACTGGCAACAACCTGGAGACAGTGAGTTGTAGGTTTGGAGAGGGTCTTAGCAAAGTGTTTAGTTTCAAATTTCACAAGTGATTCTCATGGGCATTCCTGGTTGAAGATCTCTGGTCCAGATCCTCTTCTGCTTCTAAGTGAAGCTCAGGAATACTATGCAAGAGCACAGGCCCCGAAGACTAGGTAGCTATCCCAGAGCACCAGGATTTATTTAATACGACTCAGATTTGAGCTGTAGTATCTGTAACACTCATATTAAGCATATTAACTCGGTGCCATAAGTTCTTTAAACTTACCTACCTGTTTTGCAAATGGTAGTACACATTATGTTTTTTTGAGCTTCAGGTGTGCCCCTAGAATAATAATTTAGAGTGTAATTAATTATTTTGTACTCTTATCTATATTCATCATGATTTTATAGGTGCCTATTTGAAGAAGACAATTCCTTCTTCCCTTCTCTGTCTCAATAGTAGTTAATAGGAATTGTGGTATGTTCGTAAACTACAATTATTGCCTCTTAATCATCACACAGATTAGCAAGACTCCTGCTTTGTCTGCAGTCTAGAATGGGACTGTAGTTATGTGACTATAGTTGTTATAGAAACAGTGTTTCTTTCCTCAAGGCTTATTGGCTCTCGAGAGAGAGATGGGGTTGGGTGAAAGGCTTTTGTGTAAAGAAGTACAATGTCGACTCATTTCTTTAAGCAAATCATCTTCATTCTGAGTATTTCACTGTGGCCACATGCAGATTTAAAAACAGATAATAATAACTAGCCCGCATCATGGAGTTGTGAGGGGAAGGAAGTGAGACCTATTATAAAGGGAGATAACATGTTAATGTGAGGCCTCCCATTTGAAAATTCAACACGATAGATACTAAACTAATTACAGTTCTTCTTCCTCAGATAATCTGATAGTAGAGGAAGCAGTGCAGGAGTTGAATTCCTTCCTGGCACATGAGAACATGCGACTACAGGAATTGACGGACCTTCTTCAGGAGAAACACCGCACCATGTCTCAGGAGGTACGTGAGCACAAACAGATGACTGCTCTAGGTCAGGCTGTGGCCAACCCTGATCCAGAATTCGGAGCGCTTCAAGGACTATATCACGCTTGAAAACTTTCTTTTACATGGAAGGGCATGCAGTAGCAGCCAGTCCTGAAGAATCACTAGTCTGAAGAAAGGTTCAGGGAAGAGAATAATGGAATGTTTTTCCTTATTTCTGTTGAAATGCACATTTGAATATTTTAGTCTGTATGCAGAATTAACACAGTATCATAGACTGAGTGCAGTGTTACCCGGGTCAGCCTGAGTTGGTTAAAATTTAACACGGAGTGGGGCAATGGAAACCACTGCATAGATGATGGCCTAACAACTTGTAGAAAGCAGGTTTTCAGTCCAAATTTGGGGCAAAACTAGTAGCATGACCGAACCTTGCCAAGATTTTGGCATTCATTCATTCTTCATTCAAAATGAGCTAGGTAAAGTGATAATAAATGTCCTCAGAGTCTCCTGACACACCTGGCAAGCATTTTGGTTTCATTCAGAAGGATCGCTTCTGAAATGCGGCCTTCCTTAGTTTACTGCTCAGCTCTCATGTGAACTAGTGCCTAGCACTAGACACTTGATGAGTGTTGTCGCTAGTGGTCAAACCGTAACCATTTCAGTGCCAAGGAAGAATAATCCCGAGTCGAGTGGCTTTGTCTAAAGGTACACAGCCAGAAAGTGACTGAGCGGTGGGTTTGAATGCAATTTTGTTTTAGCTTCAAGTGCACATTCTTCGCTACCACCATGCTTCTTCCTAAGCTCCAGTGCTAGAGCTGTTGCTGGGCTGGTGGCATGAAGATTATGTAGGGTGTTTGTTGATGAACGAGGATTCTCATCAACTTTCCAAAAGGTTAGAATACAGCAGTGCTTAAAATCAAATTGGGTGTCGTAAGAATGTCTGCTGTTCTAAGACACAACATAGTTGCTGCCAAAGGGAAAGGGCTTTCTCTTCTAACCGTTCCTTATGCTCAGCAGTACTAAGCTGGAGGACGTATTGTTTTGCTTAACCAGACTGAAGCCCAAGATTATGCTCGTGCTGACTCTTGGTGCTGCCAGTCACCTGGGTGCTCGGCTGTGCTGTCCACTGGGACACCTGCACGTGGCCTTGCCAGCACACCATTCTCACACTAGTCAAACTTCTAAATTGAGTTCAATACAATCTTTTCTCAGAAATAAGCATCCCATGAGCACCGAGCAGAAGTGACCTGGCCTTTCAAGTACAGATCCAGAAGTTAGGTCATGGCATGTCCACTGGTCATTAATGTTGACCCACATTCAAGAGATGGGGCCTACAATTTGGGGGTGAGGTTTATATGGCCAATATAAAGGGTATATGTAGATTAATCTGAACATATAACCATATCATGATTGAAATACTAAATTGCTTTAGTTGCTATATAATCACCAAGTAAATGGAGAACAACAAAGGTTGTTCAGTGTTTTATAGTACCTGGTTCTAGACTGTTCCAGCATCAGCCGAGAAGAGAAGTTTTCCTTTTGTTGTACATGGAATATCACTTGTGAGAATGTGGGGAGCAGGGGCTGGGGATAAAGATAGCTCTCTATGAATATGCATTTATCTTTTCTAATATTTGGCAACACGAAGAGATTACCCTTTTTTTTAATACACGTTTTCTGGTGGCTTGTGGTCTTCCGAAGGTTGTGGTGCATTTCAAAGGTGGAGCATTTATTGATCCTTCAGTGCTGTTTTCCTTACAGAAGAATGGATGGACTTTGACCGTTTTTATGATTTTGGTTGACCCAGAACTTTGAAAGACTCCATGTAGAGGGTGAGGAGGAGCTCTGGTAGCATAGAGTTATGCTTTGGGCAGCTAACGGCAAGGTCAGCAGTTTGAAACCTTCAACCAGTCCTTGGGGGAAAGATGACACTTTGTACTCCTGTGAAAATATATTTGCAGTCTGAGAAACCCACAGGGCAGTTCTGGTGTGTCCTGTAGTGCTGCTGTGCGTCAGCCTGGGCTCAATAGCAGTGACTTTTTTTTTTCTTTCCCTTTTTGAGAGGATGAAGCATCCTTTGTTTAAATCCTTTATTTCATGACACAAAATTCACTGCCTTGGAGTCAATCCTAACTCATAGTGGCCCTGGAGGACAGGGTGGAACTGCCCCTGTGGGTTTCTGAGACCAACTCTTTAAAGCAGGAGAAGCCTCGTCTTCCCGTACGCAGGGAGCAACAACTGCCGACCGCCCGATTAGCCGCCCATCCTGTAACCACTGTGCCACGAGGGCTCACAGTGACACATGAGCAAGGGTTAATTTGGTGGGATTTGGGACTTTAGTGATGCAAAGCATGCTTTTTCGAACTTGGTCGTGTATTAGTCTAATCCGTTGCATGTTTTTGTAGTTCTCCAAGTTGCAGAGTAAAGTGGAGATGGCTGAGTCACGGGTGTCTGTCCTGGAGTCCATGATTGACGACTTACAGTGGGATATTGACAAAATTCGAAAGCGAGAGCAGCGACTCAACCGCCACTTAGCCGAAGTTCTAGAACGGGCAAGTGCTGCCGTCCCGGCTCCGTGGTGTAGATGCGGGCAGTGTTGCTCAGAGAAGGGGAAGGACTTTTGGGACAGCATTTGGTAATCAGACGCAAATCTGAAGGTTTCTCACCACAGTTTCTTGTGTCTTTGGTAGGTGAATTCCAAAGGATACAAAGTGTACGGAGCTGGGAGCAGTCTCTATGGGGGCACCATCACTATCAATGCCCGGAAGGTAAAGTCATTGATTGCCTCAGGACACCTTTATTTGAGCTGCTGTCAGGGTCTGGGGGCCAGGTGCTTAAGATTCTCAAGTGGCCCAGTATGGGTTTTCTAGACGAGGGAGTCTGAATATTGGAAGCTTAGACATGGGAAGGATTTAAGTTTTTTTTCATACTCTCATGTTACTATTTCCTGTTTCTCTAGTTTGAGGAAATGAATGCTGAGCTTGAAGAAAATAAGGAGTTGGCCCAGAACCGTCATTGTGAGCTGGAGAAACTTCGGCAGGACTTTGAGGAGGTTAATACACAAAATGAAAAGCTGAAGGTAGGAAAGATATACCTGAAGGGCAGTAAAACTAAGCTCACCTGATCAATGCACATACCTGCTTGTGAACCCTCATCATGTGAGGGAAAGGAAAAAAGCAGGTTTTGTTTGTATGTCATTTTATTGACAATAGGGATTTGATGTTTTGTTTAGTTTTATTATTTGTACTCTGACTTGCTCCAAAGAAGATCTTTTTTAAATCATCTTATTGACCAAAGAAGTTTTTAAACAACCTACAAAGATATACAGCCTAAGAGGCAATATTCAAACAGAACAAACGTAATGGTTTAAAATCAAGAAAGGCGTATGTCAGCCTTGTACCCTTTCACTGTACTTATTCAGTCTGTGTGCTAGCAGATAATCTGAGAGGCTGGACTGTGTGAAGAACACTGCTTCAGGATTGTAGGGACAACCTGCACTGTGGAGATGATGACACTGCTTGCTGGAAAGGAAGAGGACTGGCGCTTACTGAGGAAGACCCAATACTACAGCCTGCAGTAGGGCTCACGCCTCAATGGAAAGAGACCAAACATCTGCACAACATGATCAATGGAGAAAAGATTGGAATTGTCAAGGATTTCATTTTACTTAGCCCCACAATCAATGCTAATGGAAACGGCATTCAAGATGTGAAATGATACATTGCATTGGGCAAATCTGCTGCCCAAGACATCTTTAAAGTGTTAAAGAGCAAAAATGTCACTTTGAAGACTAAGGTGGGCCTGCCCCAAAACACTTGTTTTCCATCGTGTCATGCATTTGAAAGTTGGAACGAGTAAGGAAGCCTAGAGAAAAATTGATGCCTTTGAATCGTGGTGATAAGAAAGAATATTGAATATACCATAGTCTGCCAGAAGAACAAGCAAATCTATTTGGAAGAAGTACAGTCATAATGCTCTTTAGAATTGAGGCTGGGGAGACTTTTTCTCGTGTGCTTTGGACATATTATCGGGATGAGACCACCCGTGGAGAAGGCGTACTTGGTAAAGTAGGCGGTCAGTGAAAAAGAGGAAGACCTCCAGTGAGGTGGACTGATAGTGACTGTACCCATGGACTTAGTCACAGGAACCGTTGTGCAGATGTGCAGGACTGGCCAGTGTTTTGTTCTCTTGTACCCAGGGGAAAGCTATGCGTCAGAACTGACTTGGTGACAACTAACAGCAGCAAGAGCAGTAAAGAAATATTCAAAGTACTGTAGCTTAGAAGTTGTTAAGAAAAATGAGGCTGACCCCACACCCGTCTCGGTGTCTGCAGCCTCCTCCACTTCCTTCCTGGGCGACGAGAACCAGCGGCCAGAAATCCATCATGTCTATCCTCCAGATTCACGCCAGAGAGATCTTCGACTCCCGTGGAAATCCCACCGTTGAGGTCGATCTTTACACCGCCAAAGGGCTCTTCAGAGCTGCCGTGCCCAGTGGTGCCTCCACTGGGATCTATGAGGCCCTGGAGCTCCGGGACAATGGTAAGACCCGGTATCTGGGCAAAGGTGTCTCAAAGGCTGTTGGGTACATCAATAAAACGATTGCACCTGCCCTGGTTAGCAAGAAGGTGAACGTGACGGAACAGGAAAAGATCGACAAGCTGATGATTGAGATGGATGGAACTGAGAATAAATCAAAATTTGGTGCAAATGCCATTCTGGGCGTGCCCCTCGCTGTGTGCAAGGCCGGAGCTGTTGAGAACGGAGTCCCCCTGAACCGTCACATTGCTGACTTGGCCGGCAATTCCGAAGTTATCCTGCCAGTTCCTGCTTTCAGTGTGATCAACGGCGGCTCCCACGCCGGCAACAAGCTGGCCATGCAGGAGTTCATGATCCTCCCCGTCGGGGCAGCCAACTTCAAGGAGACCATGCACATTGGGGCCGAGGTGTACCACAACCTGAAGAACGTCATCAAGGAGAAGTACGGCAAGGACGCCACCCATGTCGGGGACGAAGGCGGATTTGCCCCCAACATCTTGGAGAACAAAGAGGCCCTGGAGCTGCTGAAGAATGCTATTGGGAAAGCTGGTTACACCGACAAGGTGGTGACTGGCATGGACGTAGCTGCCTCCGAGTTCTTCAGGTCTGGGAAATACGACCTAGACTTCAAGTTTCCTGATTACCCCAGCAGGTGCATCTCACCTGACCAACTGGCGGACCTGTACAAGTCCTTCATCGTGAACTACCCAGTGGTGTCTAGTGAAGACCCCTTCGACCAGGATGACTGGGACGCTTGGGCCAAGTTCACTGCCAGTTGAGGGATCCAAGTGGTAGGGGACTATCTCACAGTGACCAACCCAAAGTGAATCACCAAGGCCGTGGGCGAGAAGTCGTGCAACTGCCTCCTGCTCAAAGTGAACCAGACCGGCTCCGTAACTGAGTCTCTGCAGGCGTGCAAGCTGGCCCAGTGCAATGGGTGGGGCCTCCTGGTGTCTCATCATTCTGGGGAGACCGAGGATACTTTCATTGCTGACCTGGTGGTGGGACTCTGCACTGGACAGATCAAGCCTGCGTGCGCCATGCCAACCTGAGCGCCCGGCCAAGTACAACCCGGTCCTCAGAATTGAAGAGGAGCTGGGCAGCAAGGCCAAGTTTGCTGGCCCGAAGTTCAGAAATCCCCTCGCCAAATAAGCTGGGCAGGCAGACTTGGTAGTCCCTCCCCTGAGCCCATCGGCATTCTCACCGCTTCATTAGAGCTGCCCCTGCAGCCAAGCCAGACCATCTGGACGCCTGTTGGAAACCCCAGTTTTGTGATCCTGTGACATCCCAACGCCTCACCCTTCTCGCGAGCTTCCCACCAAGTGTCCCAGTGTGATCCCGAGGTGTCAGCAGGCAACATCCCCAGTGGTCTTGTTTGCAAAATAAACATCAGTGACCCCTAAAAAAAAGAAAGGAAAAGAAAAATGAGGGGTAGAGTTAATTAGGTTGAAGATCTGAAATAGATTGGATAAAAAAAAAAAGTCTTGCCTACAAGATGCTCATGAGAATCACGCATGCACATCCTGTGGGAAGGTAGCTCACCCACGTGCCAGTCCTTGCCACAGACTTCTAGCAGCCAGAACAGAGAAAGAAACATGATCAGTGAACCTGCTAGTGTTCAAGCGTGCCCAGCGACATGCTTCTCCCCTGTTGTTGTGGGAAGGAAGTGGATTCTGGGATCTCCCCATCCCTGTTTCTAACGTAACCATCTGCCTTTTATAATTTGATTTGTTTCCAGGGAAGTCTATGAATAAAAATGTTGGACTTTGAAAACAACAACAACAAAACCTGGAGTTAAATTAATTAAGGCATTTGAATATTTAAAGCAAAACAGTTGCTTAGGAAAGTGTAAAATATACATCCTGGCAGATTCCATAGTGTTCATCTTATTCCTCTCTGTTTATAGGTTTACGGCGTCCTGCAAAAATACACATCAGTTAAAATAATTCTTTAAGGAAGATTGCTATGTATCCAGATATCACCTCTCTTTTTTTTCTTTAATACACAAAAACATCAGACCACCCAGACCCATAAGCTATGAAGTGAAGCTGCGGGCACTATGTAGAGGTGACAGACAGTGATGGCTAGATCAGCCACACTGCTAATTTACCTACAGGGATTCCTCTAGCACATCAGAAATACCCTTTTTCTTGATATGAAAAAAAGCAGAGAGTGAAATGTGCATCAGATATCGCTTCCTCTGGGAGTCTTATACTATCTGGGGCAAATCTTATGTAACTAGAGGAATGGCAGGCGGTCCGTCCCAGAGCTAGTCCTTCAAAAATGGTGTGAGTCCAAGATTTTCTTTCCTGTCTAGCATCCGGGCACTGGTGCTAAGTTCCACTCTGCCTTCTCTCCTTCCTAAGTCGGACTTACGGAGCGCGGTGGAGGAGGTGGTGAAGGAGACTCCAGAGTACCGCTGCATGCAGTCACAGTTCTCCGTCCTGTACAACGAGAGCCTGCAGTTGAAAGCACACCTGGACGAGGCTCGCACCCTGCTGCACGGCACCAGGGGTACCCACCAGCGCCAGGTGGAGCTCATTGAGGTAACGTCTCTGCTTTGTCTAGTGTAGGTGAGCTTTTCTGCCTCAGAGCCTTCACTCTCTTGGGTTCCGTTTCTCTCTCATTCATTCAGCAAAGATTCATAGAGTGACCACGTGTCTTTACATTGCTAGGTGCTGAGCATACAAAGAGGAGACAACAGAGTTCCTGCCCTCAAGGATCTTAGAGTCTAGTGGGGGGAAGGTATCCCTCAAAAGGCAGTGTGGTATAATGGAGACACTGCAGAAGGTGCAGTGAGCCTGTGTGTTAGACAGGGTTCTCTAGAGAGATAAAACCAAATTGCTGATAATTTAATATATTTATTTATAAAGATAATTAGATATATAACAAGAAATGAACTATTTATTTATAAAGATAAATATATATATAACAAGAAATGAACTGTTAAATCATATACAGATAAATATGTAATACAAGAAATAAACAGTTAAATTATAAAGCACTACAAATGACTCAGTGCAACTCACGTCCGTAAGAGAGTTGAGAGACTAGCAGTCCTTCAAGTCTAGTCTGCTGCCAGATCTTCCTCTATTTGTAGAGAGAGCTAGGCTATGTCAGCACAGCAGCCAATCATAAGGCAGGTCACCAACCGCGAGTCCCCAGCTCCAGAGATGTCTTAAAGGAACCTCAACTTACAAGGACACAGTCCACAGGCAGCTGCGCACTGGTCCGATGTTCACAGAGCGAGAGACAAGAAAGGCAAGGCTCACCAAGCCATTTATCTCTCTGCCCTTCAGTTAATCCCACATGTGTTTATCAGCCAGGCTGGCACAGTAAACTATCTCAATCTGGGAAAAGGGGATCTACTTTAACTGTAGAGCTTTCCTGATTGCACTGGGGGTACGGACCGAAGGCTGGGTTTTAAGGTTAAATGGAAGATGGAAACTGCCTGGTAGCCGGAATAGGAAAGGGCATTCTTAGCCGTGAGAACAATGTGTGTAAAAATGTGAGAGAGTGTGACAAATACTTGGGCAGCTGAAGCCTTATGCATCTGGGGAGAATGCTGGATCGAAACCACCCCACTGCTTTCGTGCCAGTAGAGCTTGTAATGACTTGTGTAGAGCTCTCTTTGTGTTTTCTCAAGGCAGAGACTCCTATTATTCATGGATTTAGTTCAGTATATCACTTATTTCTGAAGGTAATATTTGATAGTAAGCCGCCTCATAGACGTTTATGCGTTGAAGTTAATCTGTCTGACTTGGTGACGTGCTTTTGTACTACTTGTATGGTTTAGTTCTCCCACTCAATCATTAACATGCTCCAAGCGAGGGTCCGTTTCCTTTATTTATTAAGTATCTTGCCAGTTCCCAACACAGTGTTTGGTAGCTGGCTGGTGCTCATTACGTGTTGATTGAATCAGAACATTTTCAGAATGATCCCTTTGTCTCTTGTCTCTCCCCTCCCCCTTTTTGGTAAGATTGAATTTAGAATGTGATGTTATTTCCACATTTTGATAAGATAGTCTGACTGATTCCCTTCTCTGTGTAGCGAGATGAGGTTAGTCTTCATAAGAAGCTGAGGACGGAAGTGATCCAGCTGGAAGATACCCTGGCCCAGGTCCGCAAGGAATATGAAATGCTGAGGATCGAATTTGAGCAGACACTCGCTGCCAACGAGCAAGCAGGTATGCTTATCCTGCCCCGCCCAGCAGTGCTTTCCTTGGAAGACATAATCCGAGTGCAGAAATTCCAGAGCCCTCAAGGCGGATCCTGTAATTCATTTGGCTCACAGTCTGGGGCTTGTTTTTAACTCAGGTTGACCCATTGCATTTTCATTTTCTGAGTGGAATCTTTCCAGGTACTTCTCCCTTTTTCTCAGCAGTTCCTGACATGCCCTGCACTTTGTCCTCTGTGCCTTTGTCGTGATCACAGTCTCTCATGACACTGCTGTTGCTGTATTTAAGGCCCCATCAACCGGGAGATGCGCCATCTCATCAGTAGTCTCCAGAATCACAATCACCAGCTGAAGGGGGAGGTCCTGCGATATAAGCGGAAGTTGAGAGAAGCCCAGTCGGACTTGAACAAGGTAATCAGAGGAGCAAAGTCCGTGTTCCAGTCCTCCCTCAGCACCCACAGGAAATAGCCACCTGCAAGTACCCAGCTCCTCGGATGCTCATGTCCCTGATAGGAAGTGGTGTAATGTTTGCATATAACCTACGCACACCCTCCTATATGCTGTAAATCATCTCTAGGCTGTGTATGAAGCCGTAGCCTCCGGGAAAGGTTATGTAAAATAACCCTTTTTGCTCCCTCTTAGCCTTTGAAGGCTTGCCTTGACCACTTAATTGGTGGGTTGAATCTGCGCGTGTGGAACCTGTGGCTATGGAGGGCCGACTATGTGCTTTCCTTCAGGTGGCAAAGCATTCTTTGGGTAAGGAAAGCTCTCTGCTTCCTGCACGTTCTAGGCATCTGTTCCTTTTTTGTCCCCCAACACCCCAGACACGTCTTCGCAGTGGCAGTGCCCTCCTGCAGTCCCAGTCGAGTACCGAGGACCCCAAGGATGAACCTGCCGAGCTGAAACAAGATCCTGAGGATTTATCCACCCAGTCCTCGGCATCCAAGGCTTCTCAGGAGGAAGTCAGTGACGTCAAATCCAAACGGGATGAAGAGGAGCGAGAACGGGAGCGGAGAGAGAAAGAGAGGGAGCGGGAGAAGGAGCGAGAACGGGAGAAGGAGAAGGAGCGAGAACGAGAAAAGCAGAAACTGAAAGAGTCAGAAAAAGAGAGAGATTCTGCCAAGGATAAAGAGAAAGGGAAGCATGATGATGGGAGGAAAAAGGAAGCAGAGATCATCAAACAGTTGAAGACTGAGCTCAAGTAAGAGCACTATTGACAGTGTCTGTGTCTGACCCCAAAGCTAAGGTCCGGACATCATGCAGGAATTGTTCATGAGGTCTGATTTTTGTTTAAGTAATGCTTTGATTAAAGTGTGTAATACTCTTAGCACAGTTAATGTGGCATTAACTTTTGATCAATTATACAGACAAAATAGCCTACCTAGCTGTTCTGTGGCCTGTTTTAGGGGTCAGATATCAGTCAAGCCATGGATGCAGCCTTTTTCTTCATGAGTCCAAATTAAAGGAAAGGTGTTAAGATTGTAAGTAACGTTTGTGAAAATTAAGTTCTGCTACTTAGGAGATTTGGACAGATGACTGGCATTTGAGCTATAGTTTCATTATGCTTGGTGGAGTATGTAATTTGAACACTAACTGATCTATTGTTTGGGAAGTTAACTAGTTGGTGTGTATGCCAGAGGATTTTAAGAACTATCTTAGGGAGTTTACTATGATAGGCCTTGAAACAGTACCTTTGTCTTAATTTCACATGATGTTCCTTCTGTGTAATTAATAACTTCTCTGATAGAAGTGGTTAGGTTTAGTACTTCTTGCTCCCCAGTATTCATAGTTGTCTCTTTATTGATCTCTGGATTTGGAGGACTACTGTTGAAAACACTTGAATTCCTCTTATCTCTTTAAAAGTTTAGGAAAATTGCCCCCACAAACAATTGCATTCTTGCCATCTGACCAGAGGAACTGGATTATGCCCACCTACCATTACTGAACATTTTGATCAAAGATTCTAGAAGAGTTCTGATCAAAAGCAGGAAAATGCATAACAATTTCAGATGCGATTGGGCGCATTTAGGGGGTGGTATGGCCGTAGACGCAAAACAATTTCACATTGTCATGGACTAGACTCTTTTGGAGCCATGATGTGAGGATGAATTGCTGAAACTATTGTACTAAGATAATCTTTAAAATTTAAACCAAAATCATCCCCTGAAGTCTTAAAAACAGAGAGTAGTTTTAGTTCAAAGGTCTGCCTGAAGCACTAGGATCTCTAACTGTCTGTATGGGATCAGTGGCAACTAGAAAGATTAGATAGGAACTGTAGTGAGCAGTGAACTTATGTTAACGAGGAGGAACAGCCTAGAAAAGAGAACACAATCACCCTCTATAAATTATCTGTGTTAAAAGGCCTGAATTGGGGTATGCTTTGCTATGTATCTTCTCAGCAGCAACAGGAAATACAACTTACAGGTTAAAAAAAAAAAAGATTACAGCCTAGAAAATCTACAGGACTTTTTCTTTGTCACATTAGGTTGCTATGAGTCTTGATGGCACTTAGTAATAACAAATATAGATAGATTTGATAGTTTAGTGAAAGATGCAGTTTTCATCTTCATCTGATGGTTAATCAGATAACAATCATATCTAGGATTAGCAATATAATTTTAAACTTTAAAAATTTTTCCCTTGCTCTTTTTAAGGGAGAAAACTTTTTTTTTCCAAGTGTGGTATCAGAATTATCTGATGATGGTTTAATTGAAATAGGTTCCTCACCCATCTCCCGATATCTTTTTAATAGTGAAGTTTCTAATAGTGAAGCCCTCGAAATTTGCCTATTAATTATGATGGTTATTTTGTAATTGTTGAAGAACTTTAAGGGATAAATGATTTCTAGTCTTGAATATCCAGAAGTTTGTCTGTGCAAATGTTTCATTTTTTAGATGAGTGTTACAAAGTATAAAACAGTTTTAAAATCTGTGTGATTCTCAGTTTCCTTGACCTGGGGCTACCCTTTGGTTTATCATCATCCTGTTCCCCTCCCTCTGTCTGCTCCACCCCCTATCCCACCCCACCCCCACCCCATCGTAGGAAGGCTCAGGAGAGCCAAAAGGAGATGAAGCTCTTACTGGATATGTACCGCTCTGCGCCCAAAGAACAAAGAGACAAAGTTCAGCTGATGGCGGCTGAGAAGAAGTCGAAGTCCGAGGTAATCTAGTCTGGTTTGACTTGTTATTCTTGTTAAAGTCATCACAGGTGGGTTTTTGTTTTTTAACTTCTGAAGGTTGTTTCTTTCTTTTTCAAGTTAGTATTTAACACAACAACATTTTCTACTCCTTCCAAGACTATCTAAGAAATTTTCAGATTCTCCATAAGATATAAGGTATATTAGAATGACTGGGCATAGGACTGGCTTTTCCAAGTCTTTTATTACCCTTTCTCCCCATTACATCAGTGCTGTAGTGATTCTCTTTTTATGATTACTTTTTGGGAGGGATGTCTTAGATTCTTAAACTTGGGGCCAAGGTACCCCGCTAGTGTAAAGATACGTTCTCTTGCATTCTTTCTCAAAAACATTGCTTCCGGAAGCGTGAGCTGAAGTGTTGTTAAAACAGTGTTATCACGTGGTAGATTAACGAGCATGTTAATGATCTTTTCTATAATTTTGTCAAGGTTCTTTTGGTGTTTGGATCCTCACAGTGTTAGTTTTTGAAATGGTGACAGTTGTCTTCCCTTTCTATGGTTTCTCTTCCTGCAGTTGGAAGACCTCAGGCAAAGACTCAAGGAGCTAGAGGACAAGGAGAAACGAGAGAACAAGAAAATGGCCGACGAGGACGCCTTGAGGAAGATCCGGGCCGTGGAGGAGCAGATCGAATACCTGCAGAAGAAGCTGGCCATGGCCAAGCAGGTGAGTCCACGATCCTGGCTTTTTAAGAAAATCTTACTGGGCGCCATGAAGTTACCGCCACTGAAATTGGTTCTTTGGTTCCAGGCTTAACATTTTTTTTTGATCAGTACTTTTTTCTCCAGTGTGTTTTCTTGATTGCTGACATTGAACTCTTCATTTTTGTGAGGCAGGAACTCTACTTTACTTTGAACGGACGACCAGTTCCAACACGGTGTTCTGAGGTGTACCTGCGGAAGTCAGGGGACCTATTGTTGTGTTGTTGTTGGGGCCACCGAGCAAGTTCTGACTCGTGACAGCCCTATGCGCAGCAGAACGAAGCCCTGCCCGGCCCTGTGCCACCTTCACAACTGTTGGTGAATTCGAACTGCCGACAGTCCCATTAGCAGCCGAGCAAGCACTTAACCACTGCGTCACCAGGGCCCCTACATTTTCTAAATGAGCCCTGGGGAAATGATCTGTGCTTACGTTTCTTTGGAGTCAGGAAAGAGCTGACTTCTTTTTCAGGGCCACCTAACCCATCCAGTGCTATTGAAATGAAGGTCTTGTTCTCCCGGTTTCAGGAGGAGGAAGCTCTCCTGTCGGAGATGGACGTCACCGGGCAGGCCTTTGAAGACATGCAGGAACAAAATATCCGTTTGATGCAGCAGTTGCGAGAGAAGGATGATGCCAACTTCAAGCTCATGTCAGAACGGATCAAATCCAATCAGATACACAAATTGCTTAAAGAGGAGAAGGAGGAGCTGGCAGACCAGGTTTTGACTCTGAAGACTCAGGTAATTGGGATGAGCAGAACTTTCTCTTCTGTTGAATCAGAGTGCTTTTTCCATGAAGATACATGTATAAAAATGATGGTTATGAGATTGCTTATAACAAACCCCCTCCAAACGACTGCTATCAAGCCAATTCTGACTCACTGATCCTTTAAGGCAGCGATTTGCAACCTGTGGGTCGTGACCCCTTTGGGGGTCGAATGGCCCTTTCTCAGGGGTTGCCCGATTCATAACAGTAGCAAAATTACAGTGATGAAGTAGCAACGAAAATAATTTTATGGTTGGAGGGGTCACCAAAACATGAGGAACTGTAATAAAGGGCTGCAGCATTAGGAAAGTTGAGAACCACTGCTTTAAGGAATAGTTTCTGAAACTTATTTGGCTTACTGCCTCCTTTTCAGAAAAAATAAAAATCACTTGGTGTCCCTCTGGCAATTACAAACTTTGGTACTGTAGCCCGTAATCCAGGATAAAGTGTAGGTAACTTTTTGCAGCCCCTGTGGAGCATGCCAGTGCCCTGCAGGGGGTGGTATTGCTCACTTTGGGAAATACTAGGGTTTCCGAGGCTATAGATCTTTATGGATGCAAGTGCCACATCTTTCTCTCTCAGAGTGACTAGTGGGTTTAAATTGCCAACCTTTGGGGGTAGCCACCAAGTGCTTCAACCACTGTGCCACCAGAGCTCCTATTATTTGTAGTGTGTCAGTCCAGGTTAATTTGAGAAACAAATTCATAGACATTCATGTGTGTACAAGAAAGAGCGTTATATAAAAGAGCATTTATATGTTGAGGAAACATCCCAGCCCAGTCCAGCTCAAGTCCATAAGACCAATATTAGCCCATATGTCAGATGCTAGTCCATAAATTCTTCTTTAGATTCACACAGCACATGTAATGATGCTGAATGCAGGAAGGTCACAGGCCAGTAGGGAGAAGGTCGTATGGATCCAGTGGCCGTGGAAGCATCTCAATGCTGGTGCGTGGTCTTCTCCTGCTCTCCTGTTCGTAGTGTTTCAACAGCCGGAAAGGGAAGGCAGAGAGAGTGGATCTGGCCTCCAGTGAGCTATTTATCTCCATCTTACCACCAAATGAGGTCAAGTTGCAACCTTACTGATAGGCTAGACTCCACCCTTTCACTCAAGTTGACAGGAGATTATGCAATTGCCACATGTAGTGTGGTGAAATTACTGTAAAATGTCCACCATTAGTGCACTAGTTAAATAAAGTGTACGGCCCTGCAGAGGAGTACCATGGAGCCCTGGTGGCATAGTGGTTACTTGTTGAACTGCCTACCTTCAGGGCAGCAGTTCAAAACCACCAGCCACTCTGAGGGAGAAAGACAAGGCTTTCTAGGCCTGTCAATAGTTCCCGTCTGGGAAACCCCGGAGGCAGTGTTACCCTGTCCGGTTGGGTCGCTCTGGGCAGAATCAGCCTGATGGTGCTGGGCTGATTTTCTCTTTCCTTTTCTGAGTCTGGTTAAAACACATAGACTGCTAATATGGGAAAGTATCGATCGGATCATTAAGTTATTTATGTTATGATTTCTTATTTGTATGAGTGTGTTGTGTAGAAAATTGTTGAAAGGCTGCCTGAGAAATTGTAAGTGTTTACTGGATTTTAGGGTAGGAGTTTGTGGTGTGGGATTAGGAATGTGTCTGTAATGGTGAGATTCTACTTTGTGCATAAAGTTCAAGAAAAAGACTGCCTTTCACGTAGAACCGCTAGCCATTCTGAAAGAGAGACTTGAACTTTTGTTTGAACTGTAACAGCCCACTATGAATTGCCAGGCTTTAAGGAGTCTGGAATTTCTGTCTAATCATTTTCTCTGTTTTTTGCAATTAGGGGAAGAATTTTTTTCAGCCATTTTCGAAGTTTTTATTTCAGTCTCCAGCAATATTTTATTTTGAAAGTGGAGCTTTTCATTGTTGCTTGCATGTATTTTGAAGTGTTTATGGGTAAAATCAGTCGTAGTGTGAAGGCATGTGGGTTCTTAGCCTAGACAGTCTGTTTTTCTTTGCGCGTGTGTGAGAAGCTGATGCTTCGTTCAAGGTTGACGCCCAGCTGCAGGTGGTCAGGAAGCTGGAAGAGAAGGAGCACCTGTTACAGAGCAGCATCGGCACCGGGGAGAAGGAGCTGGGCCTCCGCACTCAAGCCTTAGAGATGAATAAACGCAAGGTATGCTGGCCTGCCGGGTGGTCCGCAGGGCCGGTTTGTCTCTGAGGACAAATCAGCACGGCGGCTATGGCGTCTTCCCCTGGTCCTGGTTAAGACTGCCCACTGCAAATGTGTGGGATGAGGTGATGGCACTGGCACGTCTCTCGTAGGCACTGGAAGCAGCCCAGCTTGCAGATGACCTCAAAGCACAACTGGAAATGGCTCAAAAGAAGCTTCACGATTTTCAGGAGGAGATCGTGGAGAACAGTGTCACCAAAGAAAAGGACATGTTCAATTTCAAACGTGCCCAGGCAAGAGCAGTGGCCTTTTCTTAACAGTTTGTCTTTGCGGCGTTTCCTGAGCTTTGAAGTGCTCCATATGAATGAATACTGTGTGACGAGTGTCTGTCATTAGACTATGTTTCTTGAGGGAAGAGAGACACCCTTATTTTCTTCAGTGTCATCTCCCCTAAACTTATGGCAGTTGTTTATTAAATGAAGGAAAGAATGCATTTTGGGCAGGGTAGCAGTATAACAAGAGTGGAGGTTTTTTGTGTTGTATAAGTCCTCTGCCTTTTGAATGTCAGTTATTTTTCACATTGCCTTTTAATTCTTATTCATAAGTCTGAATTATTTGAATCACATCTACCCTCAGGTTAAAAAGCTAGTTACCTTAAAATAAAATGACTGATTAGGTTGTTTTAAATTCAACTTTTCTGAACTCTTAGACTCCGGTTTTACAGGACTGAATTGGGAAGAGTTACACAGAGCTCTGGTTTTGAGACAGGAGTATGGCTGCCTGTTCTGAAACAAAGCATCTTCCTAAAGGATAGCTGGATGTGCAAGGGCAGAGCCTTTACGTGGTCGCAGTTATTTTTCTCAAAATGGCAGGAGTGAGGAAGCATGTTCAATGGCTGTTGTGCTTTCCTATTATAGGAGGACATCTCCAGACTTCGAAGGAAGCTGGAGACCACTAAGAAACCAGACAACGTGCCCAAGTGTGATGAGATTCTGATGGAGGAGATTAAGGAATACAAGGTTAGAAAACTGCCTGTCTCATTTCCTGGGTTCCTTGTCAAGGCCTGAAGCGGCCAACTCATAAACTGAGGGACTAAGTGCTCAACTTTTTCCCATGTAGGTCCTCAGAGACTGGTGTGTTTCTTAGGAGACTAAGGGGTGGGTGGGGGATGGTACTCTGTAGATCTTGGTGGGGAGGTTTTTTCCTTGATGATTTGCTTGTGTGTGAGACCCATTGTCACATGAACATGTGTGTGCTCCAACTCTGACCACTTTCTGTTTCAGGCACGCCTCACCTGCCCTTGTTGCAACATGCGTAAAAAGGATGCGGTGCTTACCAAGTGCTTTCACGTTTTCTGCTTTGAGTGTGTGAAGACCCGCTATGACACCCGCCAGCGCAAATGCCCCAAGTGTAATGCTGCGTTTGGTGCCAATGACTTCCATCGCATCTACATTGGCTGATCCAGGTCAAGAGAAGGAGAGAGGCTGGCTAGACAGACACTTATTCATTTACTACCAACCCTCTACCTCTTTCTCCATGACTGTCACCTGCTCTGCAGACTCCACCTCCGGGACCTCCTCTCTCATAGCTGGTGGCTTTAGAGGATGAGACTGGAAAAGGCAAGTCTTGGCTTCATGGTGAAGTAGAAACGAACAACTCTTTCTTGTCTTCCCTGCCAGCTTTGTCTTTTTCCCCCTGCCTTTAGACATCAGCATTTTTCTGCTCTGGGCCCCCTGTGTGACCCAGGTTGTCCGTTCTTCCCAAAGAAGGCAAATTGGGGTTTTTGACTTGGAACAGGGGGCAAAGAAGAGGGGAACACTGGCTGGCTGGAAGAGGAATCTTTTAGAAATAAACTACCTGTGGGCACAAACTTGCCTTGGTTTGGTTAGTGAACTTTTTATAAAGTTGGATTATAAAGGGTTGCAAGTGTGCTACTCTTTCCTGGATGGTTTGAGGCCTTAATGAAATTATATCCATTCAATCCTTTTCCATTCTCTAGCAAGCTAACTTAAGATCAGCTGGCTTCCTTGTTAAAAGTTACTGAGGTCTTGAATGTTTTGGTTCATTAAAGGCGTAAGTTTCTTGAGGTCAGAGACATAGTTTCAAATCACATAGCTTTTTTCTAACCTTCGAATGAATCAAGATCAGAAAGGAGGTGACGAGACCTGGTCCCGTGGAACTTGACACAGAGAGGCTGTGGTGAGCTATGTGTCGCTGTCTTTCCTCTGGACAAGAGATGGATCCAGGAGGTCCTCTGTCACGACTCTGTATTTCACAAATTTCTATTAAAGCAGAATTCAGTTTGTTTTTGTATTTGTAGTTCTTTATATATTTATATCTATTTTTTGAAACTTGTCTTTTTAGGTTTAATCGCTCCTCGAAAGATTGCTTAGTTTGACTGCTCAATTCTCTTCCATAGTCATTACAGGGCTAAGAGATTGAGAGTTCTTCTCGAGGCCGTGCAAGGCTGCCTAGAGTTTGTGGGTTATACGTTTTAATAGTAGACTGTAAACCAAGTGGTTTTAATATACCCCTGGTAGGTATGTGTTTTCTCAGATAACACCTGTCCTAGAAGATGGATAAGGACAAATTTCATGGCCCCACCTAGTATCAGTAATATGATTTCTACAAAGTCACGTAGTCTTGTTAAGAAATGCTATCTGGTCTACCTGGGGAATGTTATAAAGCAGAAGTCATCAAGAGGGTATAGGTGCCTTACTTCCTCCCCTTCTGCCCACCTCCACCAAGCCGTCCTGAGGTCAGGGACTGTCCCTGCCCCTGCTGCTTTCCAGAGCTCATGGTCTGGCCATCTCCCCGTGCTGCAACCTTCTCACTGGAAACATGAGCATCCAGAGCGCTGTGGGCTGGGGATAAGGGGAGAAAGAATCTGTGTGGGCAGCAGTAGTTTAAGGTGAAGATATTAACTCTTTGTGAGGATTGTCTGGGAAAGCCCAGCTGCTCAGCTAGGGGTCTACGGGATGTTTGGAGGAAGCCACTGTGTCATGGGACGCTGGGTGTCGGGGAAGAGCAGAGAACCTTTGGTGCCAAGCCTGCTCTTGGTCCAGGCACCCCAGTAAGCTCCCAAAGTCATATTTGCAGACTGACCAAAAATAAGTTTTGATTTTGGGGCAATTAGTCTTCTCTGACTACAAAAGAAGTCAATGAAGCAAAGCTCCCTAAATGGCATGTGAAGTGTCACTTAGGATGTTTGTACATTATCCACACTCCCTTTTCAGAGCCTTGCAAATCCCACAAAAGTTAACTATTGTTTGGATCCTAGCAATTACAAAGAATATATATATATATATTTAAGTAATGCTTATTAATGCTGACTTCAAAGGCTATTGTATAAATAATGAAGGCCTCTCTAACACTTTAGATCTTGAAGGGAAACCACTTGTATTTTCCTAGGTGGTGTTACCTTGGAAACAATCACTTGTGTGCTTCTAGACCCACTGTGGAGGGCTAATGTGCTGGCAGGCAGCTGTATTCTGATCTCACCGATTCCTTGGCCATGTTCTAGTGTGCCAGGCCTCTCTGTTCTTAAGCTCCCCACCCTTCCCTCCCCTCCCTAGAGGATTCTCAACTGTGCAGTATACCCAGGATCCAGTGGTCCTGCCAAAAAGTTTTGACTATTTCTGGACACAAACTCTACTTCACGATGACAGCTACATGGAGAGTAAGCAGACACTTGGTGGGCTGCATGTGTGCTGGATGAGGTTTAGACAATAGCAAATTGCCACCTGGGATCACTGGGTCTCCATCTATTGGCGTCACAAAGGAACCGTGAGCTTCACGTGGGGATTTCTACCCACGTTTGATACTATGGTTCTATCCCTAGTGCACTTCCCAACTACCAAAATGAGGATAGGGAAGAGAGCCTGTCTTCACCATCTCCCATGCCCAGTGTCTAGCAGAGGCCCTGCACCTGCCTTCCCTGCCTTCCAGTACAGATGGGCGTGATTCTGCGAAGGCCCTGCCATGCGGCCGCTGCTTCAGATTTTACCTTCACGGCCCAATTTGTGAAGCCACCCCTTGTTGGTTTTTTCCCAAAGTGGCAACACCTTTTCCTGGTACATTAGTCACTCTTCAAATACGGATTATCCTAACATATGACAATTTCAGATTTCATTTGGTGTTGATAAAGGGATTACTGTGCATTCTGAAACTAAATCCTTAGAAGTCACCCCTGATGGCCAGGGTTTCTCCTACTGTGTAGGTTTAGTGCTGTTTTTCTCCTTCCTTTCAGGTAAGAGCTGTTGTGAGCAACATTCAGAATCAGAGTATGTTCCACATTAGTAAACGCAGGGAGTATTTCTAATGACTGGAATTTATGTAGTGGAAGGACTTGACAGGAGGTAGGAGCTGAAAGGGACCTTGGCCTGTGTCCCTTTGTGGAGATGAGGAAGGTGGTCCCAGGTCACTCAATTTCGCCACGAGATCAAAATGTGACTATTAGACATGGATGTTCTTTAAGGAGTCCTGGTGGCACTGTGGGCTAGGTATTGGGCCACTAACCACAAGGTCCATGGTTCAAACCCACCAGCTACTCCATAGGAGGAAGGTGAGGCTGTCTCTGTAAAGACTTACCGTCTCAGATACTAATAACCATAGAGCGGTTGTTGCCCTGTAGTGGAGACCTCTTAACTATAGGGTGGTTATCATCAAGGAGATAAAAAACGGAATGATCTACGTTATCTTGAAGCCTTCCTGAAGCGTATTTATCCTTGACATCTCTATAGTTTCCACAGGAAACTTTTCCAAGCCCTAGACTGGGACTGTTCTGATATTCATGAAGAGTTCCTATATTCATGGTGCTAGAATAGAATTGAACCACATGACCTCCCTGCTTATCCTATCCTACTTGGTATTTGTTGAGTGTATTATTGTTCCTAGAACTGTAAAGCATATTTCTTAGGGAGTCAGACTTGCCCAGGTCTGGCCCTGCCACTTGATAGCAAGTTACACACTTAACCTTTCTATGCTTCTGTTTGTGAAATACTAATAATGGCCTCGGGGTCCTACTGAGGATTAGCCGAAGGATTAGCAAAGTGTGTAGCACAGGGCCTGGTACATGGCAAATGTTCAATGAGATATCATTATTGTTGTAGATAAGAAATTGAGCGGCTGTGGTAGTTACGTCATCTGGTGTCAATTTGAAGATTAAGAGTGAAGAGAGGGAGTCTGTCAATTGGGTCATAGCCAATGAGACTTCTGTGTAGGCGTAGCCTTCCCCTAAGGATTCTGGAAATTCCGGTATTTCATCCGTGGAGGCGGGAGACTCTCTCTGCTCATTTCCTGTGACACACCCCTGAGGAGATGCCACATGGACCTACCCCGATGCAGCCCTGGGTGCTGGAGCAGCCGTGTGGAGACTCCTGCCAGCGCTGAGATGTTTACACCGCCACTGGATCCAGAGACTTTCTGCCCACTGGCCTGTGGTCATCCTGAATTTGGGGTCATTGCATGTGTTTTGTGAGTCTGAAGAGGACTTTATAGATTGGTATCGGACATATGGGCTAATATCAGACTTATGGGCTTGGACTGGGCTGGGTTGAGAGGCATTCTTAATGTATAATTACCCTTTATATAACCCTCTCTCTTATACACATATAGGTTTCTATGGATTTGTTTCTGTACCTGGATTAACCTAGTGACTGAGTAACTTTTCCTCTGCATATCTATTTTGAGGGAAAAATAGAACGGACTTCCTTCCTGGAATCCAGGCCATGTGTATCAACCTGTGTCTGACCGTCTGCCTCTGGTTTGTCCGTTCTGATTAAATGATCCATGACCGTGTCATTCCAGAACACCGAGAAGGTAACTTTATCTGCCCGTTGCCCCACAAACAAAATACACTTGAATGACAGCCACTTCCACCTAGTGCTGAGGATTCTGTAAGATGTCTGTCTTTGCCTTGAATTTCTGTAATGGTTCCTATTGCCCTCAAGATGGGGATTCTGTCTAGCTCAGAGGCCATACCTTGGCTGTTCCCTTTTCGGCCCCTGGGCTTGTCGTTCACCTTGTGTTTCATGCTTCCACAATACTGAGCTGTTTAAAGTACTTAAGCAGCTGACCAACTCTGGAATGTCATGCATGCTATTTCTTCTACCTGGGATTCCAACCAATCTCTCCACCCTGCGCGCGCGCGCGCGCGCGCGCGCACACACACACACACACACACACACCCAGGGTTAAGAGTCTTTTCTGTTCTCATAATACCCAATGTACATTTCTTTCTATCTTTTTTTAACGCCAATGTGCGTTGGCAGTTTGTGTCCCCAGCCTTCCCATTAGCTCATGGGATCAGAATTTCTTCCTCGCTTTCCATCTCCAGAAGCTCGCCCAAGGCCCAGCTCATAATTGTACCCAATAAATCAATGGTTAAATGATGCAAAATATCTTTGGGTAAGTTTTCAGTTGGATTCTCTTCTATTGAGTTTATGTTCTCTTGATTCGACTTGATTATATTCCGAAAGTGAAAGTGAATGTTCATGAAGGGGAGTTTGCCTGTAGTTAAAACTGCCTGGACTGTCAGAAACGGCAAGATGCTTGCAATTGCGGGACTGCTGTATGGTTCCAGCTGTGCTCCCACCTGCTCTGAGTTGGACTAGAAAGCAGAAAGAGCTAGGGAAAGCCTATGTGAGACTTGGGGTGGGGGTAGAATAGGCAGTGTTAAATGGACCGCTGGCTGCAGGTGTCATGGTCACAAGAGCTTCCTTCTCTCTTCCTTGGGGTTGGAGACCAGACAAGCATGGTAGGAGGCACAAAGGACAAATGGCAGCAGGGAACGGCAGGGAGGGTGGGGAAACGGCAGTTGGAAGGCAGTGATCCGGCTGCTCTGGAACTGCGCTGTCAGAGTACACTTCTCTTCGACCCTTTACAGCGACATTTCTTGGGCAAGTTATATAATGTCTCGGACTCTTGGGTTTGGGCCATCTGTTAACTAAAGGTCATAGTCGTGCCTATCTTGTGAGGTGGTTTTGAAGATGAAATGAGATGAACAAAATGCACTTTGTAGCATGTGTTCTATAAATGCCAGCATCGGTATTGCTTTTTGTATAGGCTGTGAAGAGGCCAGATTGTGATAGGGACCATACCTTGTTCACGGGTACGTGGCCAGCATTTGGCCTATGAATGGAATGTGCTCGGCAAATGTTGAATTAAATGAGGGTGGCCAGGGCAGAGGTTTTCAGAAATCCCTGAATGTGGTGTCATTTCCCAGAGCCTTGCCCTTTGATGAAGCCATTTCAATGGCCTTTCCTGTTGCCTAGGCTCTGGGTTCTCTCGGTGTATTTCATGTCACTTCTTTGGACCAGAGAAGAAAACAAGCATCAGTCAGCAGCAGTGGGGAAGCACCTGAGGTGAAGGGGTTGGTACCACCTCAAGATTGGAATCCCAGAGACAATGCCAACAGGACGTCCCAAGTGAAGTTTCTATCCGAACATTTATTCCACAGTCAGAAACTGGAGATGGCAAAGACCTGAGGACCCCTCGTCCATCCCGTGGTTGGTGGTACAAGAAAAGTGGGTGGAGCCAAACCGCCCAGTCACTTCATGCTCACAAGACAGCAGCTCTCAGGTCTTCCTGGAGCGGAGCCATCAACACACGGAAAGGAAGACACACGGCCAACGTTCTTCACAAACGATAAGAAAATACTTGTAAGTAATTTTCATCTAGCAGATCAGGAACTAAAAAGAATAACAATAATAAAACGCGCAGGAATCCAGAAGTACACGGATGGCTTCGTGGGAGAAGAAAGTGCTAGAGTAACTCAACAGCGCAGAGTGAAGTGGTTTTGATGCCCAGAGAGCGACTTCTCCTGCGGGGGTGGCGGCTGGGTTTGTTCATCCAAAACACGTGAGGTGGGAGAAGGGAGGCTCTGCAGTAGGTTCTGTCCCCTTCATTGCTTGTCACCCCAAGGAAGTGCTCACTTGCTCTGAGCCTCTCACAGACACAGCGCCAGCACTCCGAAGCCTGTGACCTGGAAGGCAGTGCTCGGTTCTGCTTGGCCGTTGCCCCATGGACCACTTCTCTGGTCAGAACGGAAGCAGCAAGAAAGCCAGTCTCCTCTGGCCACGGGAAAGACCCCCACCCGAGGGGGTCCCCCACAGTGGCCTCGCTTTCCTGTGTAGTCCTGCTTCTCACCCGGCTCTAAGGGTGGGAGGGATCCCCTGTGTCCACTGCCCCGAGGTAGACATACTCTGGGACCCAGGCATGCTGTGTCACATGCCACCGTGGGGGGGTGACACAGTCACATTGTCCTGCTGCTGGTTTCCAAGCACCGGAGCTTGGAAGCAGATTGAGGCCTTCCCGATGTCCTGGAATAGTTAGGAGCCCACCGGACAAAGCTCCGTTGAGCCCTTTCTCTTCTAAATACCACCCCCCCACCCCACCCCTTACTGATCTTTGTGCCTGCAGGGAGCTGAGCAAACAGAGGTGGCACCAGACAGAAGGTTGTCAGCGGACCCCACCACTCCATGAATTCTTTATACAAAACACAACACACTGTTTCACAAATTGCAAAACACCGGTCAAGTACTACTAATAAAAAGAACCATTGCTATTTAACATGAACAGGGCTTCGTGTTGCCACAAGCAACACATGTTGCCCCGGTTTGTTCTCCTGGACCCGGACCAGGGAAGCATTGCACGCAGTGTTGGGGGCAGTGCCGCCTGCCCTTGGTTCCTGCTGCTGCTGGCAGCAGCCTGGCCAGGAGGCTGGAGGAGGAAACGGGCCTGGTCATCTACGTGGTGGCAAGGCAGGACGATCCGGCACGGGCTCACCACTGCTCAGAAAGCCTCCATAGAGAAGCTTAAGGGAAACCCAATATACAAAAATCCAAACTTACAAAACAATTACATTAAGGGATAATTAACTGCATTACAAAAGGATTCTTTACAAAAAAAATTCACCTCTGGGTGCCCTTAAATAACTAGCTTCTCAAATACAGTCAGCGTAGGAGTTGATTTATAAAAATGTCCATGTATAACTTCTCAGGAGCATGGCTGTTATGTGAATTGAGGTACACCTGTACATCAGCCTCCTGGTTCAGGGGTGTGCAGAGCATGTGGCTGGCAGAGTCGCTACAGCGTCCTCAGCAGTTGCAGATGGGTGGGGATGGCTAAGGGGCATCGTCTTCCCAAGGCAGTTGCAAAACTACTCCTGGGCCTGGGGTGAGAACACGGGGAGACAGGCTATTTCAAAGCAGAAGTTCTGGTTACAGGGCTCACCTGCTCTCTTGCTGGATTGTTTCCTTGGTCAGGTTGTTGGGATTCTAACTTGAGGCACCGCTCACTTCTCTTACCAGTACCTCTGGGCCCAGCTCCACCCCCAGGGTTTTCTCAGACAACTGATTAATTGCTAAGGCGTTATCTAATTACAGCTTAGGTCTTTCTCCTGCGGAGTACCTGGTGGATTCAAACCTGTGACCTTTCAAAGTGTCAGCGGCCACACATGTAACAACTGTGCCATCAGGGCTCCCAATCTGTTATTCTGAGAGGTGGTGGTGGTGGTCTGTTGAGTAGGTCCCTACGCCTGGTGAGCCCACACAACAGAAGGAAGTACTGCCCTGCCCGGGGCCAACTTCACAACTGGCCGTGTATTTGAGCCCAAAGTTAGGGGGAGGCATTTCTGATCCTCTGCAGCTGTTAACACAGTGTTTGGCACTGCGATAAAGTCACTGTGGGCAGTGGAATTAATCGGGGCGGAACAGCGACACTGCAAAGGCAAAGTAAATAATTGTTAAATAAACAAGGAAGACTAAGCCTGTGTGGTGTGGGGGTGGGGAGTAGGGTGGAAGAAGAATGGAAGATGAATTAGCAGGTAGATGCTTAAATAAGACACAGAATAACACCCCCCCTCAAACAAAACAAAATACCACCCCAAACTCTCAAAAAGTTTCCTCTCGCCTTACTTCTGCCTGAGCCTAGAGTAGCGAAACTTCCTGAACAGAGTTTCTTCAAGACTAATCTATGGACCCTAAGTATCACTCGGCTGCTGCTATGAGGGGATTTCTGAGTCCGCTTCCAGGATGCCTGCCTGCCAGTCTCTGGGGAGGGGCATGGCAAGGAGCATTTCAGTGAGTCCCCTAGGGAAGTCTTGATACGCTAACGTTTAGGAGCTGCTGTTTTAGAGAGTTCTCGCATTCCTTTCCCTCTTGTGCAGTGGGGGAAGGGATGCCTAAGTGGGAGGGTGGGGGCCTTATGGGAGGCGGGCTGGGGCTGGAGGATAATCGGGGTGGGAACCAAAGCCCATTCAGAGATGAGTGGGGTGAGCATGGGAGACTGTCAGTACAGATGTGAAAGGCCCCTGGATGTGGAAGCTTGGGAGACTTGGACTTGGCCTTCTCTTCTGGGGTTCCTGCAGCTCAGAGCTAGGTGGCTACAGATCTGAAAATGGCCTGGCATATGCCTTTCAGAACACCTGCCGCAGTGCCAGCGCTCACGTCCTATTCAAAGCAGTAGACACTGGTATTTTGGTTTCGTGCTAAAGCTACAGCTTTGCCTTGCTTCTTTCTCTGTCTTCTGCTTTTCGTTACAAAAGGCACATGCTACAGTGGGGATGTTGGGTGAGAGGGAAAGTTCAGTCCTATTTACTCCTTAGCCAAGTTGCCTCGCTAGTGCAAAGCTTTTGTTCTGAAAGCGTCGAGAATGTTTGAAATGCCTCTGTTCCCATCACCACATCCCAGTCTGCTTTTGTACTGGCAGGTCATCCTATTTCTACTCAATGCTACTTGGGATGGAGTCGGGGACACTCGGATCTTACCAGAGATATGGCTCAGGCTGCTATATGACTACTGACTTCCAGTTATGTTTAAAGTACCCACCCCTCTAAGCCTAAATTACTCTAGCTCCCACTCTACCTCCCCATTTGGAATACTGGGGCACATCGAGATTGGGGAGTTTGAGGAAAAGCTACAACCTTGGCTTATCGTGTTGGACATAAAGATTAAAACCATGACCCGAGTAAGCCCCCAGTCAGAATGGCAAGTCCATCCTGTGTTAACAGTGCAGAGCAAGGGCGTTCGTGGGGCACCTGGTGAAAAGATGAACGGGGGCCGAGGCTGCCTGGTGACTCAGGTCCCCTCTGCTGCCAAGTCGATGGTGACTCCTAGCCAGAGAAGTGCCCCGTCGTGTTTCCATAGCTGACATCTTTACAGAAGTAGGCTGCCGCATGGTTCCTCACGGGGTGGCCGGGGAGTTCAAACTCCTGAGCTTGTGGTTAGCATCCGAGCACTTTAACCACTGTGCCACCAAAGGCTCGCTCAGATGCCTTACCAGCGGTTCTCAACCTGTGGGTCGGGACTCCTTTCCTACCAGTAGCAAAATGACAGTGATGAAGTAGCAACAAAAATCATGTTATGGTTGGGGGGTTCACCACAACACGAGGAACTGTGTGAAGGGGGTGCGGCATGAGGAAAATGGAGAACCACTGCTTAGACTTATTTGAGCTACCCCTGTGAAAAAGACTCCCATCCTGGAGGCCTGGGAATGAGCTTGGGAAGAAAGTGCTGCTGCTGCTGTCCAGGCTCAGGAGAACAGTCTGGACCTCTCCAAACACCCGGAGCCCCAGCCTCCCCACACCTTGGCCAGTAGGTACAAAAGAGCATTTGTTTCAAAGTGTCTCAGAGGAGTGCCAAGGACCGAGAAGGGGCCGCTGTGACCGCCTAGGACTCACAAGTCCGGTTTGTCCTTTGAAACTCTTCCAGCTCTGTTTTCCTGCTCACAGCCGCCTGCAGCTCCCGGCGGATCACCTGGATCTGCTGCTCCAGCTCCGAGAGTTCCTGCATCACCGAGTCCCGAGCCGCCACGTGGAGGGCATCTGCCTTCCCGTTGGTGGTCAGGGAGGCGGGGAGCTCTTTTCGCCTGGGAGGGAGAGGGAGGTCCTGGGGGGTCTGGAGGCCCAGCTGGTCGGGGCCTCCCTCCTCGTTAAAGATGGGTTTGCACCGGTTGTCATGACTCAGGTGGGAGGTATTCCACACGGCGAGCTGACGGGGCCCCATATTGGACCTAGGAAGCAAAGAGAGAATTGGAGATTTACCTTCCATTCTGCAGCTCTCCACGAGCTGCTTCCCTGGTGACAAATAGGGAGCCCCCCACCCCCACCCCACGACCCCCAAACAGGGCTGAAGAAGAAAAAGAATGTTTAGAAATTGTTGATGCCAACCATTCTACGCCTGCTAGATATAATGAATGCATGGATTGTCATCACATATGTAAGAACCCCCAACAAATGATTTATTTTTTAAAAAAAGAAGGAAAGAAAAAGCACAGGAAGCTGGCGTGCACTGTAGAGGGGAAGTCACAAACATCCTGGAGAGACTGGCTGCTCACGCGCCATGGGGCCCAGAGGAAGTCATCGAATCCCTCTGCTCTGAAGTTCAGGGTCTGTTCAAGACTGGGGGTCTTATTGGAAGGGCTGCGGGAAGAGCTAGGGCACAGTCTTTTATGACGAAACGCATGCTTTTTAATTCCCTTCTCTCAAGTGGGGGTCAGCAGGCAACACTGCCTCGAGACGTTCTATGGCCATAAAGACGATGCTTTAGTAACAGGGAAAATCTGTGTGCTCAGCTGTTGGACTGTGTGCATGAGCCTGCTGAGAGAGCGTAAAATATGGCTGCTGCCTGGTCCCACAGGCCCGCCCCGGTGATGCTTGCTACTTGATTTCGAGGCGAATAAAAGCAGTGCAGGCAGCGGGTTTCAGGACAGCTCCCCATTATAGAGACGACGTTATGTGGGTTGGAATGACAGGTTGGGCCTGCAGCTTAAAGAAGAAAGCCCTCCTGTTCTTGCTGGGATAATGAAAGTCAAAGAGAAACGGATTTGCAATTCTCTTTCGGGCTGGCACGCTACCTCCCACCACCATCACAGGGAGCTGCCCATGGACAGCGAGTGAGTGATTGCCAGAAAGGCCCAGGAGGGGGCCAATGCGGTTCAGGAACACACGTTGACAGTTAGGTCCAAGCCGCAGACCAGAGATGAGCCACCACAGCACAGCTGCGGGCTTCTTTCGGTCTGGTTACAGGAGGACGAGGAGAAGGAAGCAGAGAAGGTAGAGGAACTGACCACTGCTGCCATCTGAACCACCACAGTCCATCCGAGCATGTTCTGTTCCTGTCCTCTTGCTTTTGCCAGGAGGAGGCGTGGGAAGGATAATAGAATCTTGATTCAGGCACATGCGTAAGATCGGCCATGCAAACTGGCTGGCTGACCCAAAGATTCATGAGCAACTTGCTATTGGTTAAAATTTTAAGTATTGAGATGATTTTGCACACAACAAAAACAATCCCCAAGCCATTAAAATACACAGGCTCCAAGCTTCCCAGAAGGGCGTCGCTCAGATCAGTCAGCAGAGTGCACCAACGCTCAGTTTTCATGTGCTCTGGCTCGGTGAAAAGATTTATAATGAACCCACTTATAGCTCACCTGGCCTTCGATGGGACTCAAAGAGAAGAGGCAATCATGATTTCCTTCCAGCCTCAGGGCTCCCTGTCACTTTTCAAGTATTTTCCTACTGAGTCTCAATAGTTTGACAACTATCTTCTTGTGTGTGTGTGCGCGTGCGCGTGTGCATGATATGGCCCATAGTTTCTATGTGTCTCTATTGGTGGGGGTGGAAAGGAATCAAGGAGGGATGTGTAACAAGGACCCTGTGAGGTGAAACATAGAAACTAACGTCTCGTAATCATATGTCGACTACAACAAAGACTGTAAGTAATCATGTCCTATGGGTGTTGGTAGCAAGCAGAGAATACCAGAAAGGTGTTCACCGGTGTTTTATTGACTATGCAAAAAACATTTTAAAAAGCCATGGATAAAAATTCCCATGGCAAAGAATGGGAATTCTGGAATGCTTTACTGTGCTCCTGTGGAGTCTGGACACAGACGGGAGGCACTGTTGGAACACAGCAACGGGGTCTTGCAGGGTTAAAAATGGAGAACGGGGCGTGTCAAGGTTGTTTCCTTTCACCGGACTTATTCGATCTGTATCCTGAGCAAATAATCAGAGAAACTAAATTATATGAAAACGGATTTCACACTGGGATTCGAGGAAGGTTTAGGAACAACATGCAGTTCTACGGGGTCACCAGGAGTCGAAACCAACTTGAAGGCAAACAGCACTAACTCCAGGTTTAAGTTACGATATGCTTTAACGGGTGGTTCTCAACCTGTGGGTCGAGACCATTTCACAGGGGTCGCCAGATTCATAACAGTAGCAAAATTACAGTTATGAAGTAGCAGGGAAAATAATTTTATGGTTGTGGGGGGTCACCACAATATGAGGAACTGTATTAAAGTCAGGTGATCACATGTCCCACTTTTGGCTGGACAGTCCCGATTTTTAACAATTTTTCCCATGTCCCGCAGCATTTTTGAAAAGTCCCAATTTTTGGAAAGAATGCATGACAAGCTAAGGTATACGGTTTTCGGCTGCCATGTGGCTATTTCACCAGGATATGAGTTTTTTCAATGGTGTCCCACTTTACCAATGTTAAAATCTTGTATTAAAGGGTTGTGACAATAGGAAGGTCGAGAACTACTTAAGCCTTCCTCGCTTCAGGGGAATTCTTCTCTGCAGGATCTGACCACTGAGTGAGCTGTATTTAACACACACACACACACACACACACACACACACACACACACACACACCATACAAAATAAGGTCTCATAGAATAACCGGTTACCATTGAGCATTGAGATTCAATACTTCACTTGACCCTTGAGTAGAGGAAGAACAGGGGGAACCCCAAGCACTCATTGTGTTTGAAAAGTTACAGGTGTTGAGTTGTAGGAAGGCGGACACAGGAGATACGAGTTCAAGATAAGCCAGGGGGATGCTCTGCCTTAGCTCCTTCTGAAAACAACAGATTCCAGAAGGCAGTCTACCAAAATCAAAAATAAAAAAGTGGCTCAGTGGAGTGAAAGACACATTTGGTTATCGGTTTAGGTGAGAGAGAAGGCGATGCATCACATCACTCTTGGGACGGCTGTATCTGGATCGCTGGGAAACAAACGTTCTCTCATTTTGCGCTGATGTCTTTGCTGCTACAAGGCCTTCTCAGGCTGCTCTGGCTGAGAATTTACGTTAACAATGATTATAGAAAACATACCTATGGCGACAGAACAGCTGCACCCTGATGGGTCTGCTGCTCGTCATGAACGGGGTCCAATATGACCGAGGAATGGCACAGACGGAGAGGCCGAGGGGGCAGTGGGCTCAGTGGTTGGAAAGACATTTTAAGAAACAACGAAGGTGATTCTGATAAGTGAGATACAAACTGGAGAGAAGATGAGGGCCAGTCTCCGGGGAAATAACACAATAAAAACATATCCTCTGTTTTTCTCTTCTATTTAAAAATACGAGGTGTGGATTTCAGATGGTAAAACTGCTCAGAGCGCCAGACTTCGCTCTGCAGCTATTCCGTCCGAGGCCCCTGGAGATCTGGAAGAACCAGCAGGACAAGGTAGGCGGCATCCAGTCGAGGCTGGGGAGGAACCAGGTCCCAATGACTGACCTTTCAGGGGCTACAAACAAGGCCATGGCCACCACAGACTCACAGCCAAGGTATGTGTGCAGCTTCAGTTTTCATACGGCACCAGTTAAGTTCACCACTTCCTATGGAGATGGATGAGGCAGACCATGTCTGGGGCATATCGTTGATTCCTGCGGAGGTCCAGGAAGGACTGGGGAGTGGACACACACCCACAAAGGCAGTGTCCCAGGCAATGAATTCCCCGCAGTCCTCAGGACTTACATACGCCAGGGGCTTTTTTGAAATCCCCTCCTATTTTGCACACAATAGGAATGGTTCACACTTATTAAGGAGTTGCTCTGTGTTCAGAACTTTGCCGGTATTGTCTTATTCCATTTTAACAAAAACCTACATGACACAGGTACTGCCCCCATCTCAGTTTTACAAATGAAGAAATGGGGGCACCACGTCTTGCCATCAAGTCAATTCACAGGGTCTCTGCAGGATGGAGTAGAACTGCGGCCCACACGTTTCCCAGGCTGCACACCTTCCTGCGAGCAGACTTTGCTGCCCACACGTTTCCCAGGCTGCACACCTTCCTGCGAGCAGACTTTGC